GGATCGCAACCCTCAGTGTCGCGCCCGTACCGGACCGGGACCGGCAACGGGATCGCAACCCTCGGTGCCGCGCCCACCCCTCGCTCAGCCAGTGAGCGGGAACCGGTCTGTATGTGGGATCCGGACCCTCGGTGGGAGCGCTGCCGCACTCCCAAGCGGCACACTGTAGCAGTGCGCCACCGGGCCGGCCCCTGAGCTAGTTATTTTTTAAATTGAGATATAATTCACATAATGTATGATTCCATTTATAGGAAATGTCCAGAACAAGTAGTTCCTTACAGACAGAAAGTAGATCAGTGGTTGCCAGGGGCTGGGAGAAGGATGGGGAGCAACTGATAATCGGTGTGGAGGTTTATTTTGGGGTGATGAAAACGTTCTGAATTAGATAGCAGTAGCTGCACAATCTTGGGAGTATACTAAAAAACACTGAGTTGTACACTCTAAAAGGGTATGTGAATTATATCTCAGGGCCTTTTGTGTCTGGCTTCATTCACTCAACGGCACGTTTCAGGCTTCATCCACGCTGTAGTGTGTGTCAGTACGTCATTCTTTTTGTGGCTGAATTATATTCCATTCTATGTGTATACCACTTGTTTATCCATTTATCTGTTGATGGACACTTGGCTGGTTTCCACTTTTTGCCTGTTATGAATAATGCTGCTATAAACATTCATGTGCAAGCTTTTGTGTGAACATATGTTTTCAGTTATCTTGGGCATATACCTAGGAGTGGAATTGGTAGGTCATATGGTAACTCTGTGTTTAACATTTTGAGGAACCACCAGACTGTTTTCCAAAATGACTAACGTTTTACATTCCCACCAGCAGTGTATGAGGGTTCCAGTTTCCCCACCTCTTATCTGTCTTTTTGATTCTCGCCATCCCAGTGGGGGTGCAGTGTTATCTCATTGTGGTTATGATTTGCATTTTCCTGATGGCTAATGATGTGTCTTTTTGTGTGTTCATTAGCCATTTGTATGCCTTCTTTGGAGAAATGTCTATTCAAATCCTTTGACCAACTTTTATTTTATTCAGAATATATAAAGAACTTTTAAAACTCAACATTAAAAAGACAGTCTGTTGAGTTTTAAGATTTCTTTATGTATTCTGAACACTAGGCCCTTATCAGGATATGATTTGCAAATATTTTCTTCCATTTTGTGCATTGTCATTCCACTTTCTTGATGGTATCATTTTCGACAGGAAAGGTTTCAATTTTGATGAAGTCCAGTTTATCTATTTTTCTTTAGTTGCATGTGCCTTAGGTGTCATATCTAAAAAACCATTGGCTAGTCTTAGATATAAAGATTTACCCACATGTTTGTTTTCTTCTAGTAGTTTTATATGTTTTAGCTCTTATATTTAGATCTTTGATCCATTTTGAGTTCACTTATGTGTATGGTGTGAGGTAAGAGTCCAACTTCATTCTTTTGCATGTGAATATCCAGTTATCCCAGCACCATTTGTGGAATTGTCTTGGCTCCCTTGTAAAAATCAGTGGACCATAGATACATGAGTTTACTCATATTTCTGTACTCTCAATTCTATTCCATGGTTTGTATGTCTGTTGGGCTGTTTACTTTGTCACCAGTGCCTTTTGCTTTGAACTAAATACTGTCAACACAAGAAAATTGTTTCAAAAATTGCATGAAGATGTTTCCTGCCTCAATAAAAACACATTAGACTGTGTCTATATCATGTTTCTGTTAGCCTTGTTAGAAGAAAATATTGCGAATGTGGGACTGTGAGCTCAAAAAAATGAATTAGACTGGACGGTGGCCCTCCTTCTGGAGTCTGGGCTCTGACTGGGTGCTAGGACAACTCTGTTTCATTTCTCTTCCTGGCTGCATAGTTCTGAACTGGTGCTGCTGTCTGGGAACTCCTGGAGGTAGGGCACATTTGTATTTCTCTAATGACCCCTGACAGTGTCTTATAGATGGTGGCTCCAGGGAACTATTATTGAAGAGACAAATAAATGAGAGTAGCTTCATAGGGCAGTGGTGGGGTGTAGGCACTGGAGCCAAGACTCAAATCCAGGCTCTCCATGCTGCCAGTGTGGCCTTGGTTGGTGGCTCCATCTCTAACATAGAGGGTCTTGAGGATTAATGGGGGGGTCTGTGTCAGCAGCTCAGCTCAGGGCTTTGCATTCCTCTATCATTGTTATTATTAGTCAAAATCTCTAAGGTCATATCTTTATAACCCAGGGTTTCTTGTCTCACAAGGTAAATATGTGTATCATTCAGGAGACAGAAACCACACCAGTTATTTGAGCAGAGGATTTAATAGCATGATTAATAATGAGGTATCAGAGAGTAAAAAGAACTATAAAACATCAAGGAGGTGGTAGAACTGTGAGAAGCAGGTACCACCCTGGGGCTGGGGAACAGAAGGAGGTTGAGATTCTCACAACTGAAAGGCTTGCTGAGGGGTCTGTGGAGCTGAAGCTCTCAGCTCTGCAGCGGGGGCTGTGCTCAGTGGAGAAGATGCCATGGGCCTGGGATGCACATCCCTGGGGAGGGGGCTCTGGAGATGGGGCTGCTGTTCAGCCAGCTCTGGGGTCTCTGCAGGGGGGTGAAGCAGGCTCTGAGAGGGCAGAAAACCTACAAATGGGATTTGCTGCCTCAGGGAGGAGCTGGTACTGCTGGGGCGACGTAGCAGCTGGCACAGCTCACAGGAGGCGCAGCATGCAGGATGGGGTCGTACCCCTTCCTCCTCCACCTCGTGGGCTCTGTCCCACCTGTGGACTCTCAGAGCAGGGCTGGGAAGGAAGGTTTGCAGTGAGAAATGCAAGATTAGTCGGTGCCATCCAGTTATGCTGAAGCGTTGGTGTGACGTGAGGGCACACAGTGCATCCTCATCGTATGGGTGGGTGTTTCACTTTGGGCTGTTTTCTCATCTTGCTTATGGCCATGAGGATTATCAGCATAAAGTTCTCCACTTTGTACCTTCACCCAGTACAGTGAGGGCTGAAATGCTGGCACGATCTCAGGGTACACAAGCTCATTTTCCCATTTGTCTGAAAGGAACAGATGGTAGAAAGGGCTCTGGAAACAGTCCAAACCAGGATTTCTTTGGCACTTGCAGACTCTTGCCTCCTGCCATTAGCACAGGTGGTTGGGCACCTGTTTGATGACTGTACCGCGTGCTCTCATAGGCTGATGTGTGCAGGGCCTGGACTGTGGTGCCTCCATGTGAGGGGGAAGGGGATGGATTTCTCCAGAATCCCAGAGGCAAGGTCAGGTGCTGGGGGCGGGGCAGGGGGCACAGCGGGAGGAACAGGCCCCCTCCTCCTTCCACAGAGGGCTGCCCAGAAGGACAGAGCATGGACAGCTTCAGTGCCACTCAGAATGGTCTCTTTCCTTTGGGTTTTAGAGCCTTTGCAGTATGAGGGATTCTTTTTTCTCATTTAATGCCCTGAGAGCAGCTAACTCGAATTACCTGATAACATTTGTATCCCTCCCTTCTTCTCCCTGTTCTCAAACCTGCTCCTGCCCAGTTTTTCTCAAAGTTGAACTCAGATGGTACCTTCATGGCAGAACCTTCCAGAAGCCTATCCTCAACAAGAACAATACAATTTGCCTCCTCTTGGTTGCCTCAGGGCTCAAGAGCTCCTGGCCCAGGGCAGGTGCTCAGTAGACAATTTGGGGACTGAATTAGTTGGCACCAGGACAGGACTTGGGTGACTGAGGGTGTTGTTGAAGGGTAGGACAGGCCCAGCTGGGGGGGACTCACCTGGAGGGGCTCAGAGAAGTATAAGTGGTGACCTCGACCATCCCTGACACTCGCCCGGCCAGCTGCCCTCGGCTGGGTCACAGGGGACCTCATCTCTGTCTTTCAGGAGTTTATCCGTGAGGGCTGCCTTCACAAGCTCACCAAGAAGGGCCTGCAGCAGAGGATGTTCTTTCTGGTAGGTTCTCCCTCGCACTCCAGCGAGCTGTGCTTCCCCCAAGAGCAGCAGGCAGCAGCTCTGTAAGGGAATCTGTGCACACCAGCAGCCTCTCAGCCTCTGTGTGGCTCCACAGCAGAGGCTCTAGCCCAGGTGGGTGGCACCAGAGTCAGACAGGAGGGGGTGGGAAGGTCCGAGAGTGAGAAAGTCCAGAATAGCTGCCCCGCCCCAGGCCAGCCTCCTCCCATGTTCCGGGTTCTAGACACCTGTCTGCAGGATGAGCAGAAGCCAAAAGATAGAAAAGTCCACATTCCCATGTGGCAGGAATGTTCTACTAATGGCCCAGCAGCCAGGCGGGAGGTCTTGCTGCTGGCCCAGAAGCACTGGCTTCTGCTCCAGGGACCAAAGACCTCCCCAGCGTGTCCTCGTTCCCACCCGGGTCCCTTTGTCAGCTCCCTTCCTAGTTCTAGATCCAATTAGTGGACTCCAGTCTAAATCATCCCGACGAGGTCAGTGAGCCAGCGCCAGTCACAATTCCTTACTGCTTCCAGCTGTAAACCAGGCCAACTGGTGGGGGGCGGTGGCCGGCCCAACAGATCAGCTGGTTCCTGTGGTTACAATTTACCTGTAGTCAAAAACGATAGATGAAGGGCTGGCCGGTTAGCTCAGTAGGTTAGAGTGCTGTGTTGATAACACCAAGCTCAAGAGTTTGGATCCTCATACTGGCCAGCCACCAAAAAAAAAAAAAAAAGATTGAATGAATAAAATAAAAGTTCCTTTTGTTCCAGAAATCTCCAGCACACTGAAGAGATCTGATAACCATATGATGGACACCTAGAGTCTAAGCTGGTCTGATAATTAAAAGCCTGAAACTTTTTTTTTTATCATTAAACAGTGTAAACATTTTTCGTGGCCCTTTACCAATTTCTCCCTAACCGCCCCCTCCGCCTTCACTTGTTTCTAAAGTTATTTATAAAGCTTCCTGTCTCTCAGTTCTCAGATATGTTGCTGTATACAAGCAAAGGTGTCACAGGAACCAGCCACTTCCGGATCCGGGGCCTCCTTCCGCTCCGGGGCATGCTGGTGAGTGGCGTCAGGCCCTACCCGAGGTTTACATTTGGGAGCCCCAGCTGGGTGTGCCCTGCATCCCTTATGCAGAGGAGAGCCCAAGTCCCAGTTGGAAGTGCTGTGTGGAGAGCGCAGCTCGGCCTTTCCTGTTCATTCGTGCTTATTGTTTTTGTTGACGCTCAACGGCCCCATCTCCAGCCAGTGGGGGCCCTTCCAGGTCAGCACCAGGCCCTTTGGAGTCAGCCCTGTGGCCTCTGGCAGCATCAGGACAAGACCCCCTCTCCCCACCCCTCAAGCTCAGAGTGCGCCTCGCCCGCAGGCTTCCTCCACAGGACACGTTGTTTGCGACGTTCGCCCACAGATTGATGTGCGGCTCTAGTCTGCCCTTTCACCTGGGAGTGGGATTCCATCACCCCAACAGTCAGAAGCCCTGTGTCCACTCTGCGGGGGCTGGACACAGCTCACAGGACATGAGAAGGCTTGTTCATGACAAATTGCTAAGTGAAACAGAGGGCAGGTTACAAAACAGCTTATGGCAAAAACAGTGGACACACACGAAGAGCCTATCACAAAGTGCTTCTGGCTGTTGCTGCTGGTGTAAAGTTCTGAGCCATCCGTGCTGGCAGAGATGAGCGGGAGACTGGGGAGCCCAGCCCCGGTTTACTTCACTAGTCACCTTTCAATGGACGTTAGGCGGCATCTAGTTTTCCAGGACCGTAAATAACACTATTGGGCCACTGTCTTTCTGCACATTCTTGATTATATTCTTAAGATAAATTCCAGAATGTAGAGCTGTTTGAGCAAAGGGTACACTGCACTTATGGCTTTGTTACTGCCGAGTCACTGTCGGAGCGGTTGCACCGGTTCCCCTGCCCAGTAAGCAGGTCTGAGCTTGTGTCTTCGCCACAGCCTTGGGAAGGACTGGGCACCCATCTCCTCAGTCGTTCCCACCGGGTGAGGACAGCAGCCCCGTGGTTTTCCCTCACATCCCTCTGGACTGTCAGTGAGGCGGACCTGGCTGCTACCTCCCGGAACCCTGTGCTTTTCCTCTCGGGAACTGCTCTGGTCTCCAGTGGTCTGTGAGCTTCTGCACACGTCTGTGAAAACTCTCGAGTAAAAACACTGGCCACCCTTACAGGCCACAAACGCTTGTTCCAGTTAGTAACCGCCTCTTTATTTTGCCTGAAATTTGGTTTTACCACGTAGAATTTACACTCCATCTTGACAGGGGTTGTGTTTGCCTGATTCTAGAATGGCATCTGGCACAGAGAGGGTACCCAGCAAGTATTGGTGGAAGGAGTGAATTTAGACATTTGTATACAGGCAGCTCTGCCCCTTCTGAGGGTTTCTGTCCTTCACGTGAGCTCAGAAAGTCCTTCCCTGTGCCAAGATTATATTGGCACCGTTTTTTTTTGTTTTTTTTGTCTTTTTTCGTGTCCGGCAACGGACCGCAACCCTCAGTGTCGCGCCCGTACCGGACCGGGACCGGCAACGGGATCGCAACCCTCGGTGCTGGGCCCACCCCTCGCTCAGCCAGTGAGCGGGAACCGGTCTGTATGTGGGATCCGAACCCTCGGCAGGAGCGCCACCGCGCTCCCAAGCGGCGCACTGTAGCAGTGCGCCACCGGGCCGGCCCTGGCACCGTTTTTTATGGTTTCATTTTTGTCATTTAATCAATCTTCCTAGAATTTGTTTTGGTAGATGTTATCAGATTGGAATGTAATATTTTCTCTCCATCTAGTCATTTTTCCGCATTTACTGAGTCCTTCCTTTCTCAGTGATCTCAAAGACTGACTACCGTGTTGAAGACTTTGTCTTCCACGTGGGTTCTTCCTGAGTGTTCTGCTCCATTGCTCTCCGCCCAGCCTCAGTCCACTCTCATTGCAGGTGGCATTTGGGGTCATCGCCGTGCGTGGGAGCATATTCCATCCCCGTTCTCCCTCCTTTTAAAATGTTCCTTGTTATTCTCAGTCATTTAACTCTTCCAAGTAAACTTTGGAGTCATTTGGACAAACTCCTTCCAAAAACACCTTTGGGCTCTCTATTGAGATTTCATTAAATTTACATATTAACTTGGGGAAGATTAACATCTCAGCCACATGGGCTGGCTGTTGCTAGTGTTGACTCAGATCATTTATGTCCAGTGTGAGGTTAGTGTTCGGCTCCCACAGGCCCTGCACAGGGAAGCTGCCCATCCTGTGGGTGGCCTGTAACTGGTCCTGGGGAACAGACAGCTGGCCCTCATTCCTGACGACAGACGGAAGGGTGATGGCTCATGGCTCTTGGCTTGAGAAAGATAATCTTTATCATGTTAGCACAGTTTCCTTCTGTTTCTAAGCGGTTTGGTTGGAAATAACATGTTGGATTTTAGCAAAGGTGTTTTCAGCATGTAGAGAAATGATCTTTTTTTCTCTTTGACTTCTGATAAGACATTATATTAATCAGCTTCCTAATGTCGAACAGTCCTTGCCTTCTTAGAACAACTTTACTTGGTCATGGGACAATTCCTTGTACATGCTTTCAGGTTGGATTTGGTAATATTTTATTTTGGAATTATTTCATCTAATCTCTTACAACTGAGGTTAGTCTGTAATGGTTTCTCTTTGAATCTGTTAGGTTTTGATACCAGGTTTATAAATAAATTGTCCAACTCCTTTTTTAATAACGAAATGCTCAACATTTTCTCCTCTGCTTGATTTTCAGCTGATAGTGCTGGATCCACCGGTGAGTAGTTGGGTGCCCTCTGGCCCACAGCTCACCCCCCTGGGTGGCAGCTGCAGTGGCGTGGGGACACCAGTGTGCCTCCTGTAGCATCCCTGGTAGTGTCAGTGTAGCCTTGGACAGCGCAGGGCTTCCCAGCTGGCTGCACCTAGCACTGCCTGGCAGTCACTTTGTGTCGTGCCTCAGGTTTGGGCTCTGCTGCCTCCTTTCTGGGTCCATGACACTTCCGCCTCTTTTGCTACCCACAGGTAGAAGAAAGTGAGAATGAGTGGTCCGTTCCGCACTGTTTCACCATTTATGCCGCTCAGAAAACAATCGTGGTGGCAGCCAGGTAAGGGCCTTCCATGTTTCCATCCAAGCAGGGGTGGGGACTCTGCTTCCCATCTGAGTTGTGAGGGTGCCACAGAGCCCCATGGCATGTGCCCCTTTGACTTAGAGCTCTGCTTCCAAGTTGTGCATCCTCTCCCTGGTGGGGGCTGGGATGCTTGCTGACCTTCACAAATGTTCCACAAGGACTGGCCACGGTGCTGCTGAGCTTCTCCCCACGCCCTTGGGTTCATGGTGCTCCACAAGGACAAGTCTCCAAGGATGGGGGCAGGCAAGCGGACGGGGCCTCCCGTGGTGGTCAGTCTCCTGGAACTTGAGTTCTCCAGACTCATGTGAGGCGGACCAGGCCGCAGCAAGGAGCAGATGGAGACTTTTCCCTCCTCCTGGAACCAAATCAACAGAAAGGCGAAGCTGAGCTCATCAGGGGGCTGGTGATGCAGTCAGACAGCAGCCCTGGCCCTGTCAGAGAACACGGGGCACTCAGCTCCCACCAAGAGATGGCACCAACTGAACCAGGAACCAGGAGCCAATCTTGTATTTCAGCACCAAAGATGTGAAGAACATTGTTTCAGGAACAAACTTGCCCTGCTGATACCCTGTTCCCACGCCAAGGCACAGCCCTGCCTCCCCGGCCACCCTCACAGGGCCCCTCCCACTCTCCTCCCTGCTGCTCCTGCTGGAGGGGACACATTCCCAACAGTCCCCTGGGACCATGGACAGATGGAACGGGTACTCTGACCTTCTCGCTGTCTCCTAAAGGCTGGGAGCCTCGGCCGGGGAGCACAGCCCTGCGGAGCTGGCCCTGAGCCTCAGCCTGTGTCTCCGCAGCACGCGGCTGGAAAAGGACAAGTGGATGCTCGACCTGAACTCCGCGATCCGAGCAGCCGAGCGCAGCGGGGAAACGTCCCTGGAGCTGCCAGGCGGCACAGTGTGCACTCGTCCCCCCAGTGAGTTCTGACCAAGGCCCCCGCAGGAGACCCCATGTGCCTAAGCAAGCTTTTCTGGAATGTTTTCCTGGGTCACAGCCTGCTAGGCTCCCATGCACTCCCCTTCCACAAGGAATGTGCCAGGCCACACTTGGGTGGGAGGAAGGATCCTGTACCTATCCTGGCAGAAGCACCATGTGGTTCTCTCCGCCAGCTGCTGACCTGGGCACAGGGGCTCCACCACTTCCGGGAGCCATCCTGGAGGAGCCCCAAGGAGTAGAAATGTCTCATGGTCCGTCTCTGGGGAGCAGGGAAGCTCCAGGGTGTCCACTGTTCTAAACACTGCTGTCTTCTTCCCAGGATCCTCCGACGAGATCTCTCTGGAACAGGAGTCGGAAGAAGATGCTCGGGGCGCCCGTGGTACCTTGGAGGGGCAGGGCCAGCACCGGGCCAACACCACGATGCATGTGTGCTGGTACCGGAACACCAGTGTGTCCAGGGCCGACCACAGTGCAGCTGTCGAGGTACAGCTTCCATGAGCACTGCTTTCTGCATGCGCCAGTAGCTGGTGAGGGTACCCCAGGAGGGTGCAGGTGGGGACTGCCCCCTGCTCTGCCTTGGTGGGAGGCCATTTGAAAGTACTCTCATCTGCTCAAGCCCTCCGTTTCACCCCAGATCTACACGCCTGGTGCCTTGTGCGGAGAAGTCTGGGCAGAGGCCAAGGGCTCACCCTCAGAGCCCTCGGTACCATACGAGCGGGACAGAGCCTGAGCCTGCTCCTTGGTGGCTGTGTGTGGGTCAGGGCACAGCAGGTCCCAGACTAGGCCTGTCAGCTTGTCATCAGCCCAGGAGACCTGTGGATTAGGGGCCTACCAGAATTCCCTGCCTCATTTTCTTTTTTCTTTTTGATTTGTTGAGCTTTAGATGCCTTTTTTTTTTTTTTAATCATAATTGATTATACATATTTTTGGGATTCAATGTTGACATGTTGATCATATCAATATTACTAGTATGTATATTGCTACAAATTGTACTTGACTCTTTATGCCCCTTGTCCAATCTCTCCCCTGTACCCCTCTCCTCCCACCACTGATAACCCTAGATTTCTTCTCTCTCTCTCTGAAAAGTAATGGTTACTCTGTTGATTTGTTGCCTAGATGATCTGTCCAGTGCTGAGAGGTGGGATCAGATCCCCCAATATTATCACAGAGCAGATGCTTCTTCTGTCATTCTGAAATGGGCTTTGTGGAGAGAGACATACTATTCTTTTCTTGGTCTCTGCTGATGACTCTCCTGTGTCAATGCACTCCAGTGGCTGGGGGACCATCTGCATGGTAGTTGTGGCATCTAGCCACTTTTGCAGCAGTTGTGGTTACTGTGGTGGTCCACCCACATGGAGGTGATGTTTTTGGTATGCTCCTTGGCACTGGCGGTGTGCCTGGTTGTGGGCAGGGGATGGGGGGGGTTCAGTCCCCAGCTCCGGCTCCATGCCCTGGGCTGGTCCCTGAGGCACTGGCAGGCACCTGGTTGTAGACAAGGGTCTGGTCCAGGCTCCATGTCCCAGGCCCCTGGGGCACTGGCAGGGTTCCCTGCCTCATTTTAGACAGACGGGTTCCCGCTCATGATGTGCCGGGTCTCAGGAAGCCCCATAGTGCACAACACAAGAGCGCCACCCCCTAGGCAGGAAGGGTGGGGTGGGTCTGACCGCTTGACTCCAAGGTTCACCCTGCCAGAGTGAACACCACACGTTTAGGGGCAGGGGCTGAGGTGGAAGCATATTGCTTGTGTGTGCCTGCACTTAAATGCCTTTCCCCACCCCCATCATTTGAAAGAACCTTCCACATTTGGCTCAGTGTGTTATCTCTTATGGTATCTTCTTTCCTCTCCTTGCTTGGGGTGGGTTCGTGGTTGGTTAGAGTGATTGTAATCAGAAAACTGACTTCACTGTGTATAGAGAAAAAAAATTGTGTCATTTCACTTAGTGCCCGGGACGTCATTCTCTAGATTCTTAACATCCTTTCGTTAGACTGTTTAAGTGTTGGTAAACACAGTGTTGGTGAAGGGAGCTGTTGTCCACAGCAGTGCAATGGTAAAATCAAGGTCTCGGCCAGAGAACGCCTGTAGGTGGGTGTCTTGGGGAGCAAACCCACTCCCACAGGCCCTGGGAGGATGGAGCTGGGAGGGCGGCAGCTGAGAGGCTGGGGGTCTTGGGATGCTGGTTAATTAAGCCACATGTACTTTTTTTGTTTTTTTTAACAGAACCAGCTTTCAGGATACCTGTTGAGAAAGTTCAAAAACAGCAACGGCTGGCAAAAGCTCTGGGTGGTTTTTACCAACTTCTGCTTGTTCTTCTACAAAACTCATCAGGTACAGACACTTAACTGGGGCCATGTACCAGGCAGTCAGGCTCCCATGGCCTGTGAGTGCCCCATGTTGTGGCGAGAGCTAGAGGCATCTGGGGAAGGGCTGAGGGCAGGGGACAGTGACGCCTCTCCTTGTGTCAGTCAGGGCGGGCCTGTACCCTCGCCCTGGGGAACCGTGTCCTGTGCTGTCCTCCAGGATGACTACCCCCTGGCCAGCCTCCCACTGCTGGGCTACAGTGTCAGTGTTCCCAAGCAGGCCGATGGCATCCACAAAGACTATGTTTTCAAGCTCCAGTTCAAATCCCACGTCTACTTCTTCCGAGCCGAGAGCAAGTACACATTTGAAAGGTAATTTTGCGGTGGGCGGTGCCCTGATAAAGCTGCTGTCTCCTCGGCTCCTTGCTCCACACATGCAGTTGGAGGCACTGTCTGGCCTTGGAAAGGAAGGGTTCAGTAACGCTTCCAGCGTTTCCAATTGACCCTTGTTTTGCCCCATTCACCCCACATCTGGGTCACTCTTGTGAAGACATTTGAGCACAAGCCCACTGGTTTGACAGCCTGACTCCCTCCCCAGGTGGATGGAGGTGATCGAGAAGGCAAGCAGCTCGCCCGGGAGGCCCCCAAGCCTGGTACAGGACTGTCCACATCCGTCTGCAGGGCTGGAGGGGACGGCCAGGGGGAAGGAGGAGTGAAGCTCACCCTGCACAGAGAACACATCACAGAGAACTGTGGATGTGATGGCAGCTGTCGTCCTCAGACTGAGCTGAGGAACCAGCACAGTCACTTATCCTGAGTCCTCCCGACAGACTGGAGGCAGCTGTGGCCTCGCCGGGTTCCCATCGGTACTGACAGTGTGGGTGGGCCTCACAGTGACATCTGTGGAGGGCTTTGTCCCCGTCAAGGCCCAGCACAGGCCTGTGGCCATTTGGTGCACCAGGAAGGACACACCGGCCCCTGGCTCAAAGGCTGTGGGCAGGGCCTGGGTGCCCTGCTGAGGACTCGCCTAGAAGAAGTGGGGCAGGCAGCCCCCGCCTCCAGGTCCCCTCAGACCACAGCTGCCCTCAGGCCCAGAGCAGGCACTCCTGCTGCCTGGGAGGGGCTGAGAGTCCCAAGTTGCCAAGCAGTCCTGCCCTTCAGTCTGGGTGAACCAAGTGGCAGCCTGGGGTTGGGGCACAAGGACAGTGGGACTTCTGATGGGACCATGGTCAAGGCCTGGCCTGCATGTCACAGCTAAATGAGTCCAGCAGCAGGCGCTCTGGTTCCACCCCCCATACCTCTGAAAAAGCAGAAACCAAAGTCCCCCTGCGGCCCTGGGATGGTGAGGGCCTCTAATTTATGAGCACCCCAGCGTTCCCTACCAATTGGGAGCAGACGCGTGACTCCTCTTTGTTCACATGTGTGATTAAACATAACGTTGTCTCCTTGCTTTGGCCCTCCTTCCAGTGGGCCACATGGAACCCACAGTTGATCACACAGGGACATTCAGAAGGGAGGCTGGGCCGCAGTCACTGCGTGCAGTGATGGGGACTCAGTGGCCAGGGAAGGGGAGGAGCCGAGGGGAAGACTGAGGCCATAGGAACTCACCTGGCCCAGGTCCCCACACACACCAGCATGCCTCCAACTCAGGTCTTTATTGAAGGTGGCAGGGGCCTTTCAGTGTTCTATGAAAACTAACACCTTAACCTCAGAACACTTCAGGAAACAAGGAAGTTCAGTTTTCTTAAAAAACAAAACATTCTGGATGACATGAGTACTTCTTATGAGAGAACACAGTACCTGACCCAACACAAGGCAAATGTAGGACCATCTTGGGCCCCTGAGGACCCAGGAGGACAGCGTTCCTGGGGGGGGGGGGGGCAAACTCTACCCCACCTCGCAAGGGAAGGAGACAGAGCTGCGCAACAGTCACTGCTCCTCAGCCTGGGCAGCCACGGGGCCCTGTGAGTCCGCAGAGGGGCCAAGCCCAGCTGCTGAGGGAAGTTCAAGGAGACTGGGCCCCACTGGCCGCCCAGTTCTCCACAGGCTCTTTCACTGCTGGGCGTAGCTTCAGCAGGGCCAGGAGGGGGAGGTGGAAGCAGGCGTGTGGAACAGGCATCCGCTGACATGAGGGACAGTACGCTCAGGGTGTAGGGAGATCCGTGACCTGGCACATGCAGCCTGCGGGCTCCAACATGTCCCTGCAGTCACAACACAGCACAAGGGGGCTTCCAAGTCAGCGCAGTTCCCACAGAGTCACAGCACAAAGGAAGGACCCTTGTCTCCCCCTCTCCGTGCACAGCAGCACGCTTCAGCGAGTTGACGTCAGGTGGTTTCTGTTATGTGAAAACCTGCAGAGAGAAAGGCCCATCGCTACTCTGGACCAGCGCTCAGGCAGCTAGGCCTCCTGACAGCCTCTTGGGCTGTGAGAAGCAGCACAGCACAGGCCTGCAGGTGGCCCCAGCACGCCAGGTATTGGAAGCAGCACTAACTGGCCTGGACCCCACTCCAGAGGGCAGGGGAGGAGGAATAGGGCACAGCTGCCTGCAGCACAGCAATGGGAACCCTGAGCTTGTCGGGCAGCTGGGAAGAGCCCAGTGTCTGTCCCACCCTGTCCCTTTGCCATGCATACAAATTGGCACAGGGCTAGCACCAATGTCCCAGGGTGCCCAAGCATCAGGCGAGCCCTTGGCATGCAGAACATCAAAGCAGCTCCTGGAGTGCAGGGCCTTGAAGGAAGCCACCGGGGGCAGAGGCCAGCTGCACAGAATGGCACTGCACACCATGGGGCCAGGGACTCCGGATGCTGTATGAGGCCAAGGGCGAACCTTCCATGTACAGCCCAAAGCTGTGGCCAGGAAAGGCCCCACTCACCTCTCTCCAGCCCTAAAGGTTCCATAGTCGTGTGAGCCAGGTACAAACAAGGAGAAGACCCACCATCCCTTCCCAAAGAGTGAAGACCACAGAGAAACGGAGCCCGGCTACCCCAGAGCCGGTCCTGGGCCTCACCTCTGCACGCGTTCCACCAGCTGCACCATCAGCTTGTCCGAGATGCCGGGGCAGGACTCCTCGGCCAGGCTGAAGGCATTCTCCAGCTCCTCCAGCGCCCCCACGCTCCCACCGCTCTGCTTGTGCTTCTCTTTGAGCTGTGGAGAGACGATGCTCCTGACCCCAGGCCCCAGAAGAGGCCCTCGGCAGCCTGCTCCTTTTCCTGCACACACTCGGTCAGAGGTCACGCTGGAGGATGCCAGGCCCCTCCCCTGTGACCTGCATCTGGGAGCCCCCAGGGGGCTGGGAAGTGGCACTACACAAGGCAGCATGCCCCCTGCCCCTACTGATTGTCTTCCCACCACAAAGCCCCTGCCTCCCTGCACTCGGGAGTCTTGGGCCTCAGTTCTCAGGAGGGGACCAGATGGCTTCCTCCCAGCTGAGTGTCAGGAAAGCAATCACCTGGGTCTAACCAGATTTTAAAACACAGCCCAGCGCTGGCCAGTTAGCTCAATCAGTAGAGCATGGTGCTAATAACACCAAGGTCAAAGGTTCAAATCCCTACTGGCCAGCTGCCAAAAAAAACCCCACAAAGCCCAGAAACTCCCTGACTGCGCTGCACGACGAGACCTAAAGCCCTGTGGGCTACACAGCATCAGCAACCACCAGGTGGGACCCCAGCTCCTGAGCTGCCTCTCTTGCTGGGGCATCACCCACCCTGGGGACTGTGGGCTACACCAGCAGGCTACCCAGGAGCTGGCCCTGAGTGGTTGCTTCCCGCTCAGGCCTCCATGAGGGCTGGGGTCGCTGTCCAGGAAGGCTCTGCTGTCACCACACAAACATCCTGTCCTCCCTTCCTGGGTCCCGGGTGCTGCCATCACCCCCAGCAGTGGGAACTCAAAGGGCAGACGGGGCCTAGACCAACTGCCCAAGCCCCAAGTCCAGGGCGTGGGGGGTCCTGGCTGCATCATGTTTCTGGTGATGACACTGACCACCCTTCAGCAGGCGATCACGTAACCACCAGGGAGTCACCTTCAGACCTCCCTGCCCTGGGACTGAGGCCATCTCTTTCTCTCTAAAGGGACATCTGATGTGTTTACACTTGTTAGCTCTTGTTCAAAGCCACGCAGGGACCCCAAAAGGTCTGGGAATACAAAAGGGTCACGTCAGGGCAGGCATCCCAGCAGATTCTGGGTCCTTCCACTCAGAAAACCCGGACCTCAAGTCTAAACCATAAACAGCTGTAAAAGACCTAAAACTGGATGGAAACCCTGTGCCCAGAGCTGGCCAGCACACACCACAGCACCATGTGGGGGATTGGTGTCTCTGGGGTACAGCCTCACAGCCCTTGCCCCCTAGGGGATCTCAAGCCCAGACCCGCCCTCACCTCTCCGAAGACTGGTCGGACCAGTGTGGACAGGCACTGGGACCTCGGCTGCCTCTTGACGGGTTCTGCAGGCTGTTGGGGGAAGCCAAGGCCAGGGGTGAGCACGGGCACAGCAGACACCGAGGCAAGTGAGTTCCCTTCCCCACCCCAAGTTTCTGGCCCTCCCTGAAGGGACCAATGCTGGGAGCAGCAAATGAACTTGGGGGCAGCTCCAAAACCACAGGTGGCCTGCGATCCCCATCCTTGCTTTTCCTCACAAAGTTGGCGCTGAATAGGCCCCCCGCTTCCTGGTGTGTTCTGGGCCTAGAGCCTCCATGCCCAGCCCAGGCTTCAGCGCAGATCCTAGCCAGCTCAGCACCACCCTGGGCTTCAGACGACCCACACTGTCCTGCCCTTCCCAAGCTCCTTGTCCAGGCCCCGGACACCAGTGAGGACGAAACCAGGCCCCAGGCGAAGGGCACCTCAGGGCTGACCTCCCCAGGATCCACGCTCAACCCCCCAGGCCAGGGACAGACCTTCTGCGAGCCGTGCAGAGCCGTCCCCTTGTGCAGCTTGCTGTGCGGACTTGGCCGGATGGTGGGGGGAAATGTCCAGATGGGGCCCTGCTCCCCGTCCTCAGCCTCACCGTCACTGCAGAGGATGAGTTACAAGGTCCAGTGGGGGAAGGGGCTGGGGGGGTCACAAGGGTCTCAGGGCACATTTCATTCTTTTCTGAGGCAGCCTCGTGGCCCTGAGGGAGGCCCCAGATGCTGGGCAGGGCTCTGCCCAGGCTACAAGGTCCAGGTGACACCACAAGAGGTCCTGTCCTTTGGCCAGAGGGGGTCCCTGCCCAACATCAGACCTAACTCCCCCAGCGACTAGCACCCAAACCCCTGCCTCTGGAGTGGGGCCCCCACCCGTGTCTGAGCACCCAGGGCCATTGGTAGCACTGGGCAGGAAGCTCAGGAGACAAGCAAGGCCCCTACATGTCAGAGTCCTCAGAGCTGGACTCCTCGCCGTGCCCCTCTGACTTCCAGCGCTTGTAGCGGTCGATGAGCTCCGTGAGGAAGGAGGTCTTCTTGGTGTAACGCGCAATGAACTTGTGCTTCAGGAGCTCCTTGGCAGTGGGCCGCTGCCAGGGACAGATGCATCACCAGGCGCCAGGGCATGGTCGAGCTCCACCCTCACAGGAGAGTGGGCACGAGGCCGCACGGGCAGGCACGGGCTCCGCCACTGGCCTCGCTGCCCAGCCCACAAATCCTCCCCACGCGAGCTCCTCTAACCACAGCCTGACAAGGAAGGGCCTGGACGGGGGTGGGCCTTACAAATCGGGGGTCCTTGTTGAGGCAGGCCTCCACAAACTCCTTGAAGGGCTTGCTGTGGTGGCCTTCCAGCGTGGGCGGGTTGTTCTTGGGAATCAGGAACAAGACGCGCATGGGGTGGAGGTCGGAGTTTGGAGGTTCACCCTTGGCCAGTTCAATGGCAGTGATCCCCAGAGACCAGATGTCAGCCTGGACAGAGCACCACAAGGACCACCACTGTCATACAGCACTTGAGCTGGCCACGGCCACCCCCAGCCTCCTGCCCGCCACACCCACCTTGAAGTCGTACGCTGACTGCTTGATGACCTCTGGCGCCATCCAGAAGGGGGTGCCCACGAATGTGTTCCTCTTGATCTGAGTGTCTGTGAGCTGCCCTGCCACCCCGAAGTCTGCCAGCTTCACATCCCCCTGCTCTGAGAGCAGCACGTTGGCGGCTATTGACACAGCACAGGCTGGTGTCATCCTCCGCTCCACATGGCCCCACCCTGGGCAGCCCTGCATGCAGCTACCTGAGAAGTGCCAGGATGGTGTCCCACCTGGCCTCCTTGGTACACCAGCAGGGCTATCCCTGGGACCTCAGCTTTTCCTGACACTCTAAAACCCACGGCCACCCTTGGCCACAGAGACACTGTGTCAGGAGCCCCACAAGACAGAGGGGGCCCCAAGTTCCCCCAGCCTGAGCTCCAGGGCCCTCCCCGTGTTTGGTTTTTAAGACAAATCCCAACAAAGCAACTCCCCCATAGGCTCCCGCAGAGGTGATCCTGACCCAAGGCACAGCTAACAGGGCCTGCCAGAAAGCCTCTCGCTCTGCCAGCCACACACCCTACAGTGAAGCAGATGACTCAGAGCCCTTGCCAAGTCCCTCCCCATTGGCTGGCCCAGCCTCATGTGCACACGCACAGGCCTGGCCACAGCGGGGGTCACTCATGCCTACACCTCCTGCTCTGACATAAGACCACAGGCAAGAATGAATGATTCTGGCTTAAGTCTAGTCCCCCCCCCCCCCACACACACACACCCCAGGTGCACAGCTGGTTTTTTTAATGTTTAGGGATGTGGGACTAAGAAAGTTCTGTTACTGACAGCATCTTCTGGAAACAGAGCAAGACAGAACCTCTCAGTTTCTGGGTGGCCATAAGGCTCCCCCACATGCCAGAGCTCAGGCACTGCCAGCCACATGCCCCTCACACACCCCATCCTTTACAAGGTCAGCAGGGCTCAGGATAGGACAGGACAGCCCCCCCCCAACACACACACACACCAGGTGCACAGCTGGTTTCTTTAATGTTTAGGGATGTGGGACTAAGAAAGTTCTGTTACTGACAGCATCTTCTGGAAACAGAGCAAGACAGAACCTCTCAGTTTCTGGGTGGCCATAAGGCTCCCCCACATGCCAGAGCTCAGGCACTGCCAGCCACATGCCCCTCACACACCCCATCCTTTACAAGGTCAGCAGGGCTCAGGATAGGACAGGACAGGAGCCATGCACACCCCCGCAGGACCTTTGATATCTCGGTGGATCTTCCGTTCTGAATGTAGGTAATCTAGGCCCTTCAGAATCTCTCGCAGGATTGTGGCAATGTAGGTCTCCTCCAGGGGGCCCGGTTTAAGCTGGAGGAAGGTGGGACAGCAAGGCCTCAGCTCCCCACCATGCCGACCCGACCCATTGCCAGTGCCCAAGCTCAACTCCCTCTGCAACAGGGGCGGGGGTGTTCCTGTAGATAGTTGGGGTCTTCGTGTTCCTATAACTATTCTTAAAACAAAACTAAGTTTCAGATGCCACGTCAGGTGGGAGTGGGGGTGGTGGAGGCTTTTTTCAAAGAATGTAAACTAGCTTCATCTTTACTGTAAATGTATTAGAAAAATGGGTCCCAGCTACACCCCAGACTTTCCTTCCCCTCCCACTAGCCTCTCTGCTTGGGGCACTAACCCCACCTGCTCCCCACAAGCCAGCAGAGGCCCAGGACCCCTTTCACAGCAAGCTGTGCACTGCCGTGGCCTACACCTCACCAGGTCCAGTGCGGAGCCGCCACCTAGGTATTCCATGATAATCCACAGTTTGGTGCTCTGGGATGGAAGAGAAGCCTGTCGGCACTTGGCAGCGAGTGGAGGTGTGGGAGTCCACAGGCCAGCACCCCCAACTCCCCAGCCAGTCAGGACTCAGGCCATATGGGATACCACCAAGCTGGTCCCCTCCAGGAACCCCATACAGGAAAGGGCTTCAGTGGCCACAGCTGGCTCCCTCTGGCCACACCCCTGCTCCAGGTGTGTGGCAGCAGATCAGCTCAGAGCAGAGGCTGAGCCCACTCTACCAACACCCCATACAAGCCAGGCCAGCAAGCAGTCCCTCAGCGCCCATGAAGATGGCATGCCTAGCAAGCCCATGGTCCCATGCAGCTGCACATCAACTGTCCTGGGTAGGACCCCCCAAATTGTGACTGCTATGAGCAGGGGCACAACCAGGCTGGGCTCTGGGCTCCACCTGCAGGCACCCTGCATAATGCTCCTCATGGTGCCCTCACGGCCATCCCACGGGGGCTGCCCTGGCCATAGGTGTAGCAGGCAGACAGGTGAGTCATTGCTACTACAGAGCCCACTAACCCTTGCAAACCTGGCTCATGCCCTGCCCGTACCCATTTCCTGAAGGGTCTGCTCCACCGTGAAGCTGGGTCCGTGCTGAACTGTCAGGGCCTCCTTGCCCTTCCAGACTCGGAGGAAAGCCTTGCACCCAGCAGCACCCTGCTCTGCTCCTCCCACTGCCCCAGCCAGCCATGGGACTTTAGGCATGTCACTCAGTCCCTCTGGAGATGGAGGCGAGGCCTGGCACAGAGCAGGCAGGCCCCCAATTCCCCACCCCACCCCCGGCACCTTCAGGTAGGAGCCGAAGTAGCGGGTGATATAGGGGCTGTCACACTGGCTAAGCACGGTGATCTCCTGCTGGATGTCCTCGATCTCATCCTCAGCCTCCTCCAGGTCGATGATCTTGATGGCCACCACTTCTTTGGTGTGGTTGTCAATGCCCTTGTACACCTCCCCGAACGAGCCCTTGCCAATGCGGTCGAGCTTGGTGAAGAGCTCCTCGGGGTCCACACGAGAGTGCTGCAGGGGCCAGCAGAGGACAGAGGGCAGACAGCGCCTGGTCAGGGGAGGTGTTGGACAGGCAGAGGCTGCCCTGCTGGGGCAGACTGGCAAGCAAGGAGGAGCCTGAGGGAGCCCACCTCAGTTCTCTCCTGCTCTCTTCTTTTGTCCCTTTTTGTTCAGAAAACCTAAACTTAATGCTCCACACAAAGGAGAAAAACCCTAGAGAGCACAGGGCAGCTGGGGCTCTGGCCAACACAGTGAGCTCTGACGGAGACCAGGAGCCTTAGGGAACTGCCTGGTAGGCTGTAGCAGCGCACATCAGTGCAATCTTAATAACAAGTTAATGGTGGTGGGCCCACGGGGGAGACTTCAGAACTCTTACTTATTTTGCTATAAACCTAAAGGTGCTCTAAAACATAAACTATTAAAAACCAAAAAAGCCAGCATACGCTAACCAAGTTCTCCTGCACTCCTGAAAGCCACACCCCTTAGAAAGGGCTTCCCCCACACCCAAATCAGTCCTGAGGACGGCTGCACCCTCATGCCAGCACTAAGTTTCTGGGTATTCAAATAACATAGAAAGCTACCACATAATCCTTAGACTTAAATGAAGCCTGACAGGTCACTGAGCCACAGGTGTGGAAGGTGCCTGGGTCCAAGTCCCAGCGCGCCTCAGAGGATGAGGCCACAGGTGTGTCCTTGGACCTCGAACCACACACTCTAGACTTTGAGCCACCACTCCCGGCAGGGCTGTCAGGTGCGTCAGGGGCTGAGATGGCCCCTGGGCTTCTGCATAAAGAAGGACAGCAACATTAGGGCCACCTCCCAGAGCCAGGGCCATCCCCGGGCGACGCCCAGCCCCTGCTCACTAGACTTCCTGAGCTCCTGAGAACACTGAGCTCCTGCCACCCAGCACTGACCAACCATGTTCTCAGAAATGCCCAGGGTGGTCTGCACAGGCCCAGGTAACAAGAGAGCAGAGAGAGCTGCTGCACCCCAGCACCCATGGTGGCTTAACGATCCTGGGCAAAGCTTGAGCAAGGGCCAGGGCTGGAAGCACCCAAGTCTTCAGACACAGGCAGAAAGAGTTTTCCAAGCCCTGTCAGGTTTCACCTCCACCAGGAAGTGGCTCCCCCTCAAAGAGGCCACCCCCCACAACAGCACCTTGGTGCCTATTTAAAATGGGTGGGCATGAAAAGGCACAACTACAACTTGTTATGCCGTACAAATGCTGACCGCTCTGGTGCCCAACTCGCTGTGGTGCTGAGGGCAGGATGGGTGTGCTCACCACTGAGGAGACACATAGCTTTCCAAGAAGGGACGCAGAGCACCACACGTGGCTCCCACGCTCACCCTGTGGACACGTGTGTGCCCGGGCTGTCCCAGTCCCACCCCCAGCACGGAGGCTGGGTGCTAGGCCTGACAGGACATTGCTGCAGTCTGACACTATATTTCAACTTGAAACTGCCCATTAGTTGCCTTCCCAGTGTTTGTAACCAGGAAGGAGAGAGTAAGGGGAGAGCACACAGGCCGACACCTGTGAAACAACCTGGGACATTACCCAACTCCTTTCTGAGCCCCAGGCTCTGAGGTGACAGGAACTTTAGAGGACAGCCGTGCAGAGAGGGGAAGGGCTGCAGGGACAAGGGCAGCATCTCGACACAGAAGCCACCTAATCCTTCCAAGCAAGGCTGCTTGGCAAGGCCTGGGGATGTGCAGCTAGCCTCTGTGTCCACATTTACCTAGGCTCAGCCCAAAGGCTTGCCCAGTTAAGGAAGAGGCAGTCAGCCCGGCCAAAAGTCGCCAGACCTGGCACCCCAGCCCTAAAGCCAGTGCACGTGCAGGAGACAGCAGGGGATGCTTAGAGCCAACCTGCTGCCAGGAAATCCCCAAAGCCAAGGTGGAGGGATTCAGCTGGACAAAGAAATTTGAGTGCTGTTCCCCGGGGCCCCCAGGCCGCACTGGCCAAGGTGACTATGTTTGCCTCAGCCTCTTCACTTCTGCTGGCCATGTGTTCTAAACAGAAGTCAGGAAAAAAAGGACAAAGGGCATTCCCCACTTTTGGGGTCCCTTTCCCAGCATCCCTGTGCTCCCTGCCCTGGGTCTGATCTGACCAAGAACAATCAACACATAGTTACAGGGCGGCTCACAGCTCCAATTTCTCATCCCACGACCCACATGAACTGCAGTTCTTAAGTATAAGACAGATGCAGATTTTTCTCCTAGCATCTTAGTTATGTAATTTACCAGACACAAAATCCCAAAAATGAATCAAAAGCCTGTTAGCTTGATTCAGCATCAGTCCGTGAGTCCCAGTTCCCATCTGTGACCACAACCGGTCCTGCTCAAGAGCTGCGTATGGTGCCCCGGGTTTCCAGGCTGGGCCAGTTTCCTCCAAGGAGCCCTGACTCCTGTTCCTGCCCCCACGTGGACAGGCCCGCTTCCTGCTCCTCCTCACGTCCAGTTCTCAAGGCGTCATAAGAATGAGCAGAGAGGGCTACATTGTCCTTAAGAGGCAAATTCCAACACCTTGCGACGGTCCGCAAGAGCTTACCCCAAGCCAAGGCATTACGGAGAGTAAAACCAAACAGCCAGCGCGTAGGAAAACCCAGCACCGACCACCACCTTTAGATCGCATCTGCTTCGAAATAACAAGAAAACCAGGAGGGGTGCAGAATACAAGTCCCCCAGCCTCCCTGGCAGGCCCCCGAGCCCCAGCAGCTGGTCCTCACTGCAGGCAAACTCCGACAGGACACGGTGCAGCGGGTCCCTCCCAGCCGGCCAGTTAGACACAAGGCCAGACGCCTCCAGGTGGTTTAAAGTTGGGGACTACAAAAACCAGTGTCCCGGAGAAGACAGCCCGAGCGCCGCAGGTGACAGCCCGCCCGGCTCCAGCAGGTCCCCCCGGAGCAGCCGTCTCCACTCCGCCCCGCGAGCGCACGCCACGGACACACGCTCCGCTCTCCCTGCGCGCCGGCCCTCGCGAGGCCACTGCCCCGTCCCGGCCCCGGGCTGCCCGTCCGGACGCCGAGCTGCAGGCCC